CTTCTGGCTGGTGCTGATCTGATACCCCCTGCAGGCCAGGAGGAGAGGCCCTGACCTCTGTACCACACCCCCTCCCTTCCCTCACACCTATAGGTGTGAACACAGGTGGATCACTATGAGGCTGCTACTTGAAAGTCTGTGGCATTCTCTGAAACTGTGTCTGGTGGTGGAGGCCTGGGAAGCCTCCCAGTGGGCCATGGCTTCTGGCAGCACTTGTCCCAGGGGGACTAAGAAGCAGCCACACAGCCCTGCTCAGAAGCCTGAAGGCCATAACTGTTAGAGAGCCTGCTGTTATATTTTCGAAAGGCCTCCAGACCCCTGACAGGAGGGTGGAAGGAGGCTTGGCTGTTGTGTCAATGATACATTTGGGGAGCCCTGAGGGAGAAAGTGGGATTTATCCCCAAGACCCCCTGGGCATTTGGAAGCTGGCTGAGGTGAAGCCTCATCCCCTGCCCCACAAGGTCACAGCTAAGTCTTCTGCTGCCCCCAGACACAGAACCATGGGCAGTGCATGAAGGAGGGGCCCACAACAACCACTCCCTGCTGGCCTTGGGCAACTGCACCAATGCACTGAATGACAAGGGCAGTAACAGATGTTGTCAACTACTGGGAGAGCAAGCTCACCTGGCTCCTCAGGGTACCACTCAGCCAGGCACAGGCACTGGGCTCTAAAAGTCAGGCTATCAGGTCTACAAAACAATGCAAGAGGGCCAGCCAACTAGCTCAGCAGATTAAAGCACCTGCTCCTGGGGTGTGCTAAAACGGCGATTGAGAGTGGGTGTGGTGGTGTGCGCCTGTAATCCCAGCTCTTGGGAGGCTGAACACAGGTGGATCACTACGAGTCTGATCTACGTAGTGAGACCCTGTAGACTCCGTATTAAAATACAAAAACAAAAACAAAGAAATCAATGCAAGGTACCCAACTAAAGCTGAATTTCAGTTAAGCCACCAAATTTGTTTTAGTGTAAGTATGCCCCATGAAAGAAAGCCATTCCTTGTTTACCTGAAATTTTCATGTACCCTGGTATCCCAAAATTTTTTCTGGTAACCTTAAGGTAGAAGTGGGCAACAGAGGCAGGGAACAACACCTAACCCGCTCCCGAGGCTGTGAGTTCAGTGGACACCCCTATGGGGTGTACAAGGGAACCCTTGCCTTACCTGAGAGGCATCATTGAGTGCCTCTTCCTGGGTTCTGGGCTCTGGGTTCAGTGCTTCATAGTAGTCCTTTAATTTTTTTTGTCAGGAGGAAGATTGATTTATTTAAAAACAATTTTTATTAGTACATGTTTTCAGTACACAATGATTGCATTCATTGTGGGGAATTGGTACATGGACATAACTCATCTCAATTCTTTTAGTCCCCCTTCCCCTTGAGACCCCCCTTTTAAATAATTTTTTTTGCCAGCATCAGATTTATTTATTTATTTTATTATAAGTCTTTATTAAGTTCATTATCATAAACACAGACTAATAGACCAAAAAATAAAATAAAATGCACAAAGCAATTGTAGCAAGTCAAGGTATACTTTTAGATACACTGGCCACGTTGGATTGCAATAACTTCTTCCTGCTTTTTGTTCTGTTGTCTGTCTTTTATTTTGCACTTCATGTATTTAGTTTTTTGAGATAGGATCTCAAGGTGATCTTCCTGCCTCAGCCTCCTGAGTACTGGGATGGCAGGCCTACACCACCACGCCCAGCCTGCATTTTGTTTATATGTGGAGTTTTTCATATAAGAGAAATCATGGAATATTTATGCTTATGTGTCTGATTTACTTCACTTACCATTATGGTCTCCAGGTGTGTCCATTTTTCTACAAATGACTCAAGTTTATTCTTTATGGCAGAGTAGTGCTCCACTGTGTATAACTATCACATTGTCTTTATCCATTCACCTGTTGACAGACATATAGGCTGCTTCCAAGATTTAGGTGTTATCAATTGTGCTGCTGTAAGCCAGGCATGTTGGCACATCCCTGTAATACCAGAATTCTGGGAGGCGGAAGCAAGAGGATCGCTGAAAGTCTGAGGCCAGCCTGGGCTACAAAATGAATTCAAGGCCAGCCTGAACTGTATAGTAAAACTCTATCAAAAAGAAAAAAAGGGCTGGTATAAATATAGATACACATGTATTATTGTAACATGATTTTTAAATTTATTTATTTATTTATTTATTTATTTATTTTTGTCCTATCAGAGGTGAATATTCTATTGGCATCTAAATACTATAGGTGTTTGAATTCAACTAAACATCTAACACTGTCTAGCAGTCTATAGTATTAGTGGGTTATCCTCAGAAGTTATTGACTTGAGCCTTTTACAGCTCATCCTATTAATATGGATTTACTTTGTATACCTCATTTTTATACTTTTCTGCTGGATGGTTAAGACCAAGATATAGCAAGACCTATGTACCCAGAATTGTAACTTTTGTATCTGATAAGGTCAGCCAAGTACTCTCAGGATTTATCCTGCAGCCCTGTACCGCCTTTTGTACATCCTTTTTTTTTTTTTTTAATTTTGTGTGTGTGTGTGTGTGTGTGTGTGTGTGTGTGTGTGTGTGTGTGTGTGTGTGTGTGTGGCCAGCTCAGCCCACCAGGGGGCGCGGCTGGCTGGCATGTGGTGCTGGAGGATTGAACCGCGGTCCCTGTGCTTTGCCAAGCTTGTTCCAAGTAGGTGCTTTAGACCACTGAGCCATCTCACCAGCCCCTTGTACATCCTTTTGTCAGTGTCTGACATGAGGATGTGTCACGGCCATTGCTTGACCAATTTGCTCTCTGTGAAAGCTTGAGAAAATGTTTTTTCTCTCCATGTGACTCTCCCCAGGCTCACTTTAGATCCTTGAACACATTTCTCTGTGGCTTCATAAAGTTTTTTAAACTCAGGAAGATATCTAGAAAGGGAATAGTTGGATGAAATAGAATTTTGATTTTTAGTTTCTTGAGGAAGCTCCCTGCTGATTTCCATAGTGGTTATACAGGTTTACACTCCATTAGTAATGAAGGAGGCTCCTTTTTTGCCAGAGTCTCTCCAGCACTTTTCATTGTTTGATTGCTTGAAGATACCATTCTTTCCAGAATATGGAGGGATTTTAGTGTTATTTTAATTTGCCTTTCTTGAATGGCCAGTGATGTTGAATTTTTTTTTCATATATTTACTGTCCATTTTCATTTCTTCATCTCAGAAGTACCAATTCATTTCAGATTCCTCTTTTTTAGTTGTGCATTTAAATCTGGGGGGTCTTTGGTGTACACTTGTAATCTCAGCACTCAGGAGGCTGGAACAGGAAGACCGGTGATCTACAGGTCAGCCTGAACTACATAGTGAGACCGTCTTTCAACAAATATATATATATAAAATTGAGGGCCTAATTTTTTTATGTGTTCTTTGTATAGTGCAGATATTTGGTCTGTTGTCTGAAGAGCAGCTGGAGAAAATTTTTCCCATTCTGTAGGCTGTTGTTTCTGTAGATGGTTGTTCTGTTCTGGTTTCCTTCACTTTTTAGGTTTTTGTGATTCCATTTGTTGCTTCTTGGCATTATTATCATTATTTTAAAATTTATATTTGGTACAGGGTCTCACAGCACACAGACTCATAGTGATCCTCCTCTTTTCAGCCTCCCCAGTGCTGGGATTACAGGCGTGTGCCACCATGCCCAGACTCAGTTGCTGGCTCAGCGTGCCTGGGGGTGGGGCCAGTGGGGCCTGGGGTGCCAGAGATCAAGCCCCAGTCCCTGTGCTTGCCTAAGCAGGCACTTAGTCCATTGAGCTATCTTGCCAACCCATCATCATCATCACCATCATCATCATCATCATCATTATTATTTTTGGTACTACTTACCAGGCAGGAGCTTATGCGGCTGAGCTATCTCCCCAGCCCTGCTATTATTTTTTGTACAAGTGAGATTCTGTTCAGAAAGTATTTGCTTATGTTTATGTCTTCAAGAGTTTTACCTATTTTGTCTTCCAGCAGATTGTTTCTGTTTTAATAGGTACATCTTTGATCCATTCTGATTTTAGTTTAGTGCATGATGATACATATAAGTCTAGGTTGAACCTTTGACACATAGGAAGCCAGTTTTCCCAGCATCTTTTATTACAAGGGCTATCTTTCCTCAGAGAAAGTATTTGGCCTCTTTGTCAAAGATAAGATAGCTGAATGGGCCTGGACTTATTCTTTCTTTCTTTTTTTTTTTTTTTTGGCGGAACCGGGGATTGAACTCAGAACCTTGCGTTTGCCAGTCAAGCGTTTATCCTACTGAGCCATCTCCCCAGGCCTGGACTTATTTCTTTTGGGGATCAGAAATAAGATTTATTGATGAACTTGTGGTTTTTTTTGGTGGAACCAGTGACTGAACTCAGACGCCTGCGCTTGCCAAGGAAGCACTTATTCTACTGAGCCATCTCCCCTGCCCCAGAGATGTTTTATTTTATGTATTTGGTTATTTTTTTATTTAGTACAGGGCCTACAGGGTCTGCAGGGTTTCGCTACACAGATGGACTTGTGATTCTTCCTTTTTTTTTTTTCAGAATTGAGAATTGAACTCAGGCCCCTGCACTTGCCAGGGAAATGCTTATTTTACTGAGCCATCTTCCCTGCCCCCTGATGAACTTGGTAAGGTGAGGTGGCCCAGTGAAAGCCTTCAGGAGTACAAGGCCCACAGCTTGTCCAGGAGACTATGATTTGGGGTGTATTTCACTGTGCAGCCATCAGAGAAGAGGTGCTTCTCAGCCACCATACCTTCAAATTCATCTGCATCGAACTTGGTGAAGCCCCACTTCTTGGAGATGTGGATTTTCTGGTGGCCAGGGAACTTGGTCCTGCAGAAGGCCTCGACCACATGTTTCTTGTTTGGCAGCTGGGAATGGATGGACGTGATGACCTGCCCAGTGTGCACCCTTGCCACTGTGTCCTGGGGCTTCCCAAAGGCACCCAACATGCCTGTCCTGAGCCTGGAAAGGGGCTGGCAGGAGGTCAGATACATGAACATCCACTAGAAGGAGTGTCTCCAAGGTCCCTTAGGGCAGCCCGTACAAGCAGCAGGCTGCATACACTACCAAAGGAGCTTGCTGTCTGCAGTCACAACACACTGGGCGCCCACCAGTAAAGGAACCTAGTCAACTTAATTGACTGCAGCCTGTAATTACTTCTGTATCCTCTGTTTCATTCCATTGCTCTGCAAGTCTGTTTTCCCCCTCCCCCAATATCATGCTATTTTTATCACTTTTGCTTTGTAGCATGCTTTGTAGCATAGCTTGAAGTCTGGGATTGCAATACCCCCTGCCTTGCCCTTGTTGCCCAGAACTGCTTTTGCTATTCTAGGTCTCTTCTGGCTCCATATGAATTTCAGAATTGCTTTCTCTAGTTCTGTGAGAAATGTTATTGGTATTTTGATTGTGCTTATTATTCTATTGAATCTGCAGAAAAGTTTTGGAAGAATGGCAATTTTGAATATATTGGTTCTGCCTATCCAGGGATAAGGGACAGCTTTCCATTTTCTGATGTCTTCTTTGTTCCCCTTTTTCAGAGAACTGCAACTTTCATTGTAGAGGTCTTTCATTTTCTTCATTAGGTTGGTTCCTAAGTATTTCATTTTTCTTCATGCTATTATGAATGATAGAATCTTCTGAGTTTCTTTCTCAGTGAGTTTATTATTGGTGTATAAGAATGCTACTGATTGAGTGTTGCCTTTGTATGCTACTGAATTTAGTTATTAATTCTAAGGGTCTTTTGGTGGGGTTTTCTATATAAAGAATCATGTCATTGCAAATAATGATCATTCAACTTTTCTCTTTTTAAATCCACATCATTTTAATTTCTTTCTCTTCCCTAATTTCTCTGGCAGTATTTGTTTTTGTTTTGTTGTTTTGGTTTTCTTTTTGTTTTTTT